TGCAGTCATTTTTCACCTGCTCGAGTTCATCTTCGGTTATCAAACAGATGTATCGGGACATGGGCTCACATCGACCTGGTGTTGATGCAGGTTTATCGATTTTGAAATCGGATGTTGAGAACGATTTGAGAAGTAAAATTGTGAAGTTAGCCTATTTATAGAAGTCGCTTAAGCGTATTGGGGAAGCCAAATAGCCGACTGTCAGCCGCCTCCAATTAATGACTTTGGGAACTGCACGAAAGCGACCTTTCAGTCACTTCAGTCGCTGACATCACGAGGTTGACATCAGGATCAAGGCGTCGGAGCATTAAAGATCAAATCGTTTCTTATTGACCTACTCTAAGAAATGCGGGGACTATTTGTATATGGTCAAAATCATATGCCTCCGATCTATAGGCTCGAGGGGTTGTCTTAAGCCCGAGTTCAGAAAAGGTCGAGTTCGAGCCCGATGGACCAGACTCGAGCTGGAAGATAGGATATAATGCCCGAGGATTGAAGTACGGTGAATACCGTAGCCGAGTATGCTCGACCCCGAAATAATGCCGTTATAGATTTCTAACAGAACGCGCGAGATTCCTGCCACGTCCCCTAAATCATGGCGCAAATCCCGGAATAGAAGTTACGATTCCGTACTAAGCGGTTAGATAGATGTCCCAATAATATTCCTTACTGTAAATGGAAATGTACCTTATTTAGGGTTTCCCTATTATATAAAGGGGACCCCAATCGTTTGTAACATCATCTGATCATTGGCAAAGAACATACTATCTTACTTTCCTGGCTCATTATTCATCAAAATTGTCCTGTCTCTTTACTGTTCTTACTTTATTGTTCTTGGTTCATCTCGAGGTCACTGAGCTCGAGGTCGATATTGCTAAGTAACATTGGTTTGATTCACTTATTTCTTTCATTTTTACTTCATATATCTTGATTATTAATTGGTATTGAACTAAATCACATATCTTTATAACCACAAATCAAATTTAATCGTTACTCGTATTTTCGAGGTAAACAAGTATTAAGCAAATAGATTGTTTAATTGAATTACCCATTATTTCTCCTCAAAATGAATAATAACTGTTGATAGACTAACAAATAATATATTCTCATGTATTGGAGTTAGGACAACAATAATAATATACACATCGTGATTTTATAAGTGGGGTTTGCGGAGGATGAGATATATGCGGACCTTACCCCTACCTTATGTGAGGTAGAGAGGTTGTTTCTGATAGACCATCGACTCAAGAAAAGCGTTCTCAAAATAAGTTTGAAATGAATAAAAAAGCTAAGATTAAAATACTGAAGAAAATACAAGTATTGACAGCAAAAATAGTAAAGATAACCGAAGTAAATGAAACAACAGTAGTAATAAAATTCTAGAAAAAGATAATAGTAGTAGTAGTAGTAGTAATAATAATAACAATAACAACAACAATAATAATAATTATAATGGAGCAGATAAGGTTCTCAAAACTAGAAGTATATTTTCCATAGAAAAGATAGAAAATATTCTGATTATCTACTAAACTTTTGTCCTAATCCTCGATTTTATGCTCTCCTTTGTTGGGTCATGTTTGATGAAATGTTGAAATGTTTCTATTTTGGGACTTTGGCATTTAAACAAGATCGGAAGGTGCATTTTAGATCAATTAATTCATTTTCTATTTGTTTACAATGGTTAGTGCAATCTCTCTTTTGAACCAAATGTCCCGTCATTTATTAATCTTTTCTTTATAAAAAAAAAAGGAATTGTTGTACCGCACGTCCGCACCTACCAAGGACACTTGTTATTTGTAAATCAATATTCAATAGTAATATGTTTTTCTTTTTTGGTTCATTGCATTTGAATTAAAAGCTTTGTAAAAGAATTGACTTTAGTGCTTCAGGTAAAACACCACAAGGAAAAATGTTTGTTAAATAATATCAATATGTTACGTAGCCAAATGAATTTATATATGTTCATTTCAGAGGAATAAAGAGGCATAATAAATGCAATTCGGTAATTGTCAACGATCTTACAAAAATTAGAACTTAATATTAAGCTTAGCTTTTTGCAATACGCGTGGCAATGTACTGACCTTTTACTTTTTTATCACTACAATTAATTTATCATGTGCTCATTACCATTTTAACTTTTTTATTGGTAGGTACATGTTACTATACCAAGATAGATATTGAATAACTTCATTTTTAGATGATTTGATCCGAAAAAAATGCACAAATATTATTGTTGTTATACGATAAACAATGGAGTAATTTTTATTATTAAGTGTGTTGTTTTAAAAAGCTTATTTTAATTTGATTGAACATGAAGTTTAAGAATATAAATTTTTTTAGCCTTATAATATTAAACTGAACGTATATACAATATCTCAAAACTACTCTTAAAAATTTGTGGTCTTATATATGTCATGTCATTCCAATTAGGGAATATCATTAAGGCTAAAATAAAAATGTTAAATTTAAATTTACTAAATATATAACATATATTTTAATAGACTAAAAAAAAAGGAATGTGTAAAGTAAAAGAAGGGAGTATTTTGTTATTGCATAATAAACAACAACAACAACAATAACCCAGTAAAATCCCACCAGTGAGGTCTGGGGAGGATAGATTGTACGCAGACCTTACCCCTAGGGAGGCTGTTTCCGGGAGACCCTCGGCTCAGAGACAATAGATCTGTGACAATAAAACCCGAAAAATAATATCAGCAGCGTGAGAGACAACAAATAAATGGAAAAGCATTAACACAAGTATTATGCAAAAGTGTGAAACACAACATAAATCGCTAGCAGTGCTAGACAAAAATACTATCATACTCATCGGTACAAAGAGGGAAACCGGGACAAAGTGGAAAATGCTCGACTACCCTTTAACCTACAACCCTAATGCTCGACCTCCACACCTTCCTATCAAGAGTCATGTCCTCGAAAATCTAGAGCCGCGCCATGCCTGTCTGATCACCTCGCCCCAATACTTCTTGGGCCGCTCTCTACTTCTTCTCGTACCTGTCAAAACCAACCGCTCACGCCTCCTAACCGGGGCATCTAGGCTTCTCCTCTGCACGTGTCCGAACCATCTAAGTCGCGCCTCCCGTATCTTGTCGTCCACCGGAGCCACGCCCACCCTCTCCCGAATATCTTTATTCCTAATCTTATCCATCCTAGTGCGTACACTCATTCATCTCAACATCCTCATTTCTGCTACTTTCATCTTCTGGATATGTGAATTCTTGACTGGCCAACACTCAACCCCATACAACATGGTCGGTCGAACCACCGCTCTATAAAACTTACCTTTAAGTTTCGGTGGCACATTCTTGTCACACAGGACTCCAGACGCTAACCTCCATTTCATCCACCCACCCCAATACGGTACGTAACATCCCCGTCGATCTCCCCATCTGTCTGGATAATTGACCCTAAGTACTTAAAACTTTCTCTCTTGAGGATGACTTGTGAGTCAAGCCTGACTTTCACATCCGCTTCCCCCGTCACGTCGCTGAACTTACATTCCACATATTCCGTCTTAGTCCTGCTCAACTTGAAACCTTTAGACTCCAGAGCCTACCTCCATACCTCCATTCTCCCATTAACGCCGCTTCGTATCTCATCAATCAGAACTATATCATCAGCGAACAACATACAACATGGCACCTCTCCTTGGATATGGTGTGTTAGTGCGTCCATCGCCAGGGCAAATAAGAACGGGCTGAGCGCAGATCCTTGGTGTAACCTCATAACCACCGGAAAAGTCTCTGAGTCACCTCCCACAGTCCTAACCCGAGTCATAGCTCCATCGTACATATCCTTTATCGCCCTAATTTAAGCCACTGTCACACCTTTTACCTCTAGACACATCCAAAGGACGTCCTAGGGGACCTTGTCATACGCCTTCTCTAGGTCAATAAACACCATATGCAAATTCCTCTTCCTATCCCTGTATTGTTCCACCAATCTCCTGATAAAGGTGGATAGCTTCCGTAGTAGAAAGACCCGGCATGAACCCGAACTGGTTTTCCGATATAGACACCGTCCTCCTTATCCTCCCTTCCACCACCCTCTCCCAAACTTTCATGGTATGACTTAGTAACTTGACACCCCTATAGTTGTGACAATTTTGGATATCACCTTAGTTCTTGTACACCGGAACCATTGTACTCCACCGCCACTCATCAGGCATCCTCTTCGTCCTGAAGATAATATTAAACAACCCAGTCAGCCACTCCAAGCCTGCTCAACCCGCATATCTCCAAAACTCTACTGGAATCTCGTCTGGTCCGGTCGCTTTGCCCCGACTCATCTTACCCATCGCACCCTCGACCTCCTCAACCTTAATGCGACTACAATACCTAAAGTCGCGGTGGCTCTCGGAGTGCCCCATTTGCCCTAACATGATGTTTCCATCCCCCTCTTCATTCAGAAGTTTATGAAAGTAGGACTGTCATCTATGCCTAATTTGGGCCTCTTCCATCAATACTCGACCGTCCTCGTCTTTGATGCACCTCACTTGATCCAGGCCGCGGGCCTTCTTCTCTCTCACTTTGGCCAACCGAAATAACTTCTTGTCCCCACCTTTGCCCCCAAGTTTCTCGTACAGCCGACCAAATGCAGCAGTCTTAGCCTCATACATAATATTATATTTTAAATAAAATAATGAATAAATTCTAATATATGTGTACAATCACATTTTATGTGGCATACTTTGTTTTTAGTTTGTCCCAAAAGAATTAAAAATTTTATATTTAAAAATAATTTAATTTTAAACGTGTCATTTTATATTTAATGATATAACCTTAAGTTTAAAAAAAGTTCTCTTCTTTTTTTAAAATTTCATGTTTTGGTTAAACAGCGCCACATGAATTGGAGAGAGAGTATTACAAGTTTTTTAAAAGGATGTTTATTATACTCAAATACTCTAATTTAATATTTTTTGGTTGAGATTATTTTAATTAATACAACCAATCAATGGAACATTAGTGTTGCCTTTGTCGGTCTTTAGTTCACAAAATTTACCCAACTGTTCAACACTAAAATCATCTCGTGGGAAGGTGGGTACAGTCGTACAAATTTGAACACATTTAAACAGTCAAATAATTGACGAAAGATGCAATAAGCCTGACACTTCACGTTCTGTAGGGTTTACTGAGCTAAAAAAAAGGCACAATTCAATTTCAGGATATGGCCGAATCTGAGCCGATCGGAGCTCCGATAGCCGTCGCCGGAGATACGATGCTCGCTACTGTTAATAATACTCCGATTCCGGTGACTATCGAGGTAAGCACTTCAGCGACGATCGGCTCGGAGAAGCGGAAGCGAGGGCGACCGCCACGTGGACAAGCAGGGAAGCCTCCGCCGCCGAAGATTCAGCGAGTGGAGGAGGATGAAGAAGAAGATGTTTGCTTTATATGTTTCGATGGTGGTTCACTCGTGTTATGCGATCGCAAGTGAGTTAATCGTGTTGTTTGTTCCTTTTTTTGTGTGCTCAAATTAGGTTTTCATTTTGCCTTCATTTTCCAATTTGAGCAAAATTGAAATAGAGGATTTGTATAGCTGATCTTAATTAGTTTCTTATTGAGGCGCAGTTGATTGATTTTCCAATGACTTTAAGTTATTTTTTGTAATATCAGTGAATTTTAGGTTACTTTTCAGGCTACCTACCATTTTTATCAGATTATCAATTAATGCTGATTGACAGATTTACTTGTAATTATCTAATAAGTGATGACCTAATTGTGTAAATATTTTTTTGCACTGTGAACTTAAAACTCTTTTCCAATGAATTTAGGTTATATACATGGGCACTGGGCAGGGTAAAGAATCAGTGAACTTTAACCTGCGATAGCAGGTTACTTTGCAGATTATTTACCGTTTTATCAGATTATCAATTAATGTTGATCAATAGATTTACGTGTAATTACCTAATAAGTAGCCTGATTGTGCAAAAATTTTACACCGTCAGTGTATAGAACTTAAACTCGTTTCCAACTTCTAGCTTTTTCGTACATACTGGATGCTAGTGTACTATAATTTCTGATAAAAGTGATTTACTCCCTCCGTTATTAGTACTTCATAAATGGTAATTTATATATCCTTATCTTTTCCAAAATGTATTCTTAATGGTTAGGGGTTGTCCGAAGGCATACCATCCAGCTTGTATTAAGCGGGACGAGGCATTTTTCAGCTCTAACGCTAAATGGTTCTGTGGTACGTTTCCCCTTCTTCATGAACTCAAAAGAACCTACTATTTACTTTATGCTGCTGGTTATTAGCTTTTTTCCTATTTTGGCTTTTAGTTTATTCACGGGAGTTTTCGTCAACAGAGCGGAATGAATACAGAGAATTCATATAGCTGTCCCTACTAGTTTGGGATTGAATTCTAGCTGTTTCTGTTGCGGGATTTTCGCTTCAATAGAGCAGAACAGATTTGGAGACTTCATGCAATCAACTCCAACTAGTTTAGGATTGAGATGCAGTTGTTGTTGTTTATAGGATTTTCTCCCAACGTTATCTTAGACCGCATTTCTGAATTGTATCTTAGATTGGCATTTATTAGGTTAGTCCATGCTAATCTGCCTTCTCATTCAAGGTCAGGAATTTGCAGACCCAAGATATAACATGAAAAGAAAAATTAGAAAGTGGACACCAATTTGGAGTGGCATATGATTGGTAGATATTGAACTAGTAATAAACAGAGGGAATAGTAAATAGTTGACTGGATTGCATGAAGACTTATGATCTTGCATGACAGTAATTCATGTTGTTATGTTTATGCTCATAAAAAGAAAAAATCTGGAATAGGCCTTGTATAGATGTTGCAGCCAGTCTTAACTATTAGGTAACCCACTTCATCACCTGGTGCTTCAGTTTGATTCTTGTGCACAATAATTTGTAATCCAGCTTTTTTAAATAGGAAAAAAGTATGTTAATTTGAACCTCAAAATATCGTTCATTTTTCTATATGATGCATGAGATCAACTTTTTGTTCCTGTTCAATATTGTCCTACCAAAATCATGGACTATAAGCTTTTTAATTTAAAAAAGAGAGGATTCATGAGCTGGAAGTCTTCAAGTTTTTGTAGTTGCTTGAAGTTATCTATGCCATTATTTCTATTCTGTTACTGATCACATTACCAGCTCTAGAAGGTTTGCGTGTTATAACATCACGAGAATTTCTGTCTTCAGGTTGGCATATTTGTAGTGTGTGTCAAAAGGCTTCCCACTATTTGTGCTATACTTGTACATATTCATTGTGCAAGGGATGTATAAAAAATGCTGATTACTTCTGCGTTCGACGAAACAAAGGCTTTTGCTCAATGTGCATGCGAACTATCATGCTGATTGAGAATAAAGACCAAGGAAACAACGGAACGGTAAATCATATGCCCCATAATCTTGACAGATTTTTGATTTTGCTTGTAATAATTTCATTGCGATTCCACATATTTTGAGTAAGTTACTTCCAAGCATGGTTAGTCCGTCGGTTTATGAAAAGGAAAGAACAGTTGTAGTCTTTGGGAACTGGATCTGGTTATCAGTTTAAATTACTAATTTTGCTCTCTTTTATTTTTCTTGTCATGTCTTGCATAAAGAAAGAAATCATTTAATTTGATTCTTTATGTAAAGTTTTGTTACTATTCTTTATTTCAGCAAACAAACAAAAAAAATGTTAGGCTTGGTTTTGACATTGGATGTGATTTAAATTTCTATAATACCAAAAACCTGTTCAGGTTCAAGTAGATTTTGATGACAAAGGCAGCTGGGAGTATCTATTCAAGTTGTATTGGGTATACTTGAAAGAAAAGCTATCACTAACACTAAGTGAACTTACTCAAGCTAAAAATCCCTGGAAGGAATCAGATAGGATACATGGGGAACTGAAATACAGTCATGATGTTACAAATGGTAAGATATTAATTGTACTAGCAACTTTATTAAAAGTTTACTCACCATGACCTAATTAGAACCTTTGTTGTGCTTATCCAGTTAAAGAACAGGGATCTACCATGGCTCAGTGCCAAATGAAGGAGAAACAAGAGGCACATGGAACTAATAGATTGGAGAAGCTAGGAAATCGAGCTACGGTTGATCAGGCAGTTAAAGAACAAGGATCTATAATGGCTCAGTGCGAAATGAGTGAGAAAACAGACACTCATGGGACTAATATATTGGAGAAACTAGGAGATCGAGCTACTGTTGATCAGGCTGTGGATGGGTCTGGATCTGAAACTTCAATTGCAAGTCTCTCAACAGCAAACTCAGCATCCACTAACATCAGTGAAACGGATGAAGTGTGGCATTACCGTGACCCTACTGGTAAAACGCAAGGATTATTTTCAATGATACAGTTGAGGAAATGGAGTAAATTGGGGCTTTTCCCACTTGATATGAGGATATGGACAAATGATGAGTATGATGACTCAGTACTATTGACTGATGCACTAAATGGGCTGCTCCATAAAGCCCCTCCGGTTCATGGAAAGACATCAAGCCGGTCTCAGGAGCTTGGAGCTGCCTCTGCTGACAGAAATGTTTCTGAACGGTGTGGACGTTCTACTGGAACAGGGAGAGAATGCAGAGAAATGGAGGTACCTTGCCACCGTGCAAGTAAAGACTTAAATGGCAATGCTGAGAATGCGAGGATAGATGGGTTGTCTGCTCCATTTCCAAAATTTTTGGACTTGATGAATGGAAGTAATCCTTATTCAGACAAACTCCAACTGTGTAACCGAGTCCCTTCGTCCCGTCATGGGGAGGTGCATGTAGCTCTTCCAAGTAAGGAAAGAGGTCATGAAAATGTGGAGCTTCACTCTGCCAGAGGTCAAGCAATTCAGGATTCCTGTGGAAGCACAATGTGCCAGATTACTGGGAGTTACAACCGTAAAGCCCAATCTAACAACCAGAGTTATGTAGGACAGTCTTCTGGACAGAATTGGGGGTCATCAACCAGTTGTAGAAGTTCAATTAACTTGGACAGTGGTTTTGCTTCAGGGACCAATTCAAAAGAGTCATTTGAGCAGAAAGGTAACGTGAATCTTTCAGATCGACCAAGTCCTACTGCAAATACAAGCTATGACGATATTGAAGCTCAGGCTGCTGAAAAGCTGCTTTCTTTGAGTTCAGGTGTTCCTCTTCGTGCTTCAGATATACATGATTGGTCTACTTCTACTCCTAAGTCCTATGTTGAAGCTAAAGCTGGACGGGCAGCTGAAAACAAAGCATCTGCTCCTTCTAAGCTGTCTGTGCAGGATTCAGGCCCTAGCTGGAGCAGTGGTTCTAGTCTAGCTGATGAACGTGATGGAAATACTCCAACTGCAGAACCATCTGCTGAAGAATGGGATTCCGGTCTTGTTTCCGTTTCTTCGCTGAAGCCAGCTGAAGCAGTGAATGATCATGTTGCCACGCCCACTCCTGTCGCAGATCAACTTAATTATACCTCCCCATCTCTCCAGGTGTCAAACTTATCCAATTGGCAGGCAGCTGTTAATGAGCCTATTGAGTTCAGCACTTTGGCTGAAGAGTCGGTATCAGATCTATTGGCTGAAGTTGATGCAATGGAATCTCAAACTCAAAGCGGTATGGGTTCGCCTACTTCAGCAATGAGGTTTAGTGAGCAGATGATACCAGGTTACAAAAACTTTATTCTAGCTCTGTTTGAGGACCTGAGTCCCACGCCTGATCCTGCAAAAAGTGATGGCTTGAGCTCAAATGGAGATATAAAGTTGCCTTGTCAATCACCTGTGACAGATGAGCTAGTTGGGGCATCTCAAGCTGATGCCTTTGACCCTTTAAAGAGGTCTGATGGGAATTCATCTAATGAGCAGCGAAACAGAAACTAAGTAGGCTAATGTCTCAAGCTTTTGACCCTTTAAAAGAGGTCGGTCAACAAGCTGTGAGGGAGAAACTAAGTCAGCTGATGTTTACTTTACCCAAGAGGAAGCTGGGTCCAATAGGCTGCACCTTGTATGAGTCAAAAATGCTAAATTTCTCAGCATTCGTAGGAGTATAGAATTGGAAGCTATGAGCACAGACTGTGGGACAGTTCAGGGATACATGATTTGGGGCTGATCAGTTTGGGGATTTTCAAATGTTGGTTGGGGTACCAGCATGGAAGCTGCACAAGAAGTTCATAATTTTTGTTGTACTTTACCAGGAATCAAGTGTGGGATAGCCCAGAATTGGGCTCTTCAAAGAGGGGACTCGGGATTTGTAGGATTGGTTATTGTGGAGCAGGCAACCGCTGACTGGTAGTGGAGATACTCTCAGCCTACTCTGCGAAGGACAGTGATTTTGTAAATTTTATTAGTTGCAAGGAGGACGCTTCATTGTAACAGGTTAAACTGTATTTAACTGAAAAATTATCAGCTAAGAAAATGGCAAAATGCGATTTTTCCCCTTAGAATCATTATGTTAACTTCGTTGAAATGAGGTGCAGAAAAATCTGTATACATTGTAATAGGTTAATTCTGACCCAGAAGAGGTATCTCTATATGCGCAAACTGCAGTACTGAAGTTGTACTCATGCATTTATATGTGCATAGATTACTTATATGAGTTTGCTTGTCCGAAGACTGAACAAAGGAGGAGGGTGGAGGTTGTGGTAAGTCAGACAACGGGTGTAAAACTAATCAATTTATGATGAATTTTCACTATACAAAATTAGAATTCAGATGTGTTAACCTAGGCACTTGTTGCATTGGAATGGCCAAGGGGTTTCATTGGGAATATGAGCAAGAAAGGCGCAGTTGACGTTGTTACTACATTTAGAAGTACTAACATATTATGAGAGAATTATCAATCAAATTAAAATTTTAGGCGCTCTTACAATATATTTTTGTCATTAATTTAAAAATGTTATGCAAGTCAAATTAACTTTATCAACTTTCATATTCCATCACACTAGTATATAAAATGAAGTGAAGGAATTACATGAAACCAATTTTTTTTCTTTTTATCTTAGTAGTGGCATCCCAAAACTATTGTCTGAGTAATCTGCATTTTTTTTTTTAAAAAAAGTTCTCCATTTTTTCCACTTTTATTGCTACGTAGGACCAAACTTAATACAAACGTAAGATGACCAATATTTTGAACCGTTGTGCAGCTCATGTCCTAATCCGATAAAATGACTTTATGTTTTGGTAAATTTAAAATAATTTCATATGTTATAAATAGAATTCTATTTAAGGTGAATGTCTATATTTTAGAGAGATTTTAGGGTAAGTTACTTGGTGGCTAAGTTACTTTTTTCCTATAAATAGAGGGGTTCTATTCCATTGTAATTGATCACAAAGCAATAAGAATTCTGTCTATACTGTTCTCTGCAATACTCTTCTTTTCTTTTATTGTTTCATAACATGTTATCAGCACGAGACTCTTGTAGAGGAGCTTAGTAATTGTACAACTGTCACTTAGTTGTCATTAGGTGTTAGTGTTAACTCTAGTTAAGTTAATTAACTAGCATAGATGGATTATTAGAAGTTGCATATAATGTACAGTATTTTTAGACATTTAGTTAGTTTTGAACAGTAATAACAGAAAACCTTCTGCCGCAATTCTCTCTCTACGCTTCTTCATTGCATATCTCTTCTACTTCAAATTCTCCAGATCTGTGAGAATTAACATGGTATCAGAGCATTAATCGTGTGAATCTAGGGGTTTTCATTGGCAATTCAGCTGAAAATCGAGAGATTTATCGAAATTCGTTTGCAAATCTGTGCCCTAATTTTTCAATGGCAGGAGATACAGTCGAAGAACGAGAGGTTGAAGAACACTCGACCAGGCAGGAATCGACTGTGATTGATCACAATCATCCTTTATACTTGCATCCTTCTGATGGACCGAATTCGTTATCGCTGGGTTTCCAATCAATTGGAATGGAAAACTACACAATTTGGAGCCAAGCTATGGAAGTTTCGTTGCTAACACGAAACAAACTGGGATTTGTGGATGGTTCGATCACCAGAGAGACTTTTGGAACTAGGTTTAACCAGTTGTGGGATCGTTGCAATGCGATTGTCAAATCGTGGCTGATGCACAATGTAAGTCGTGATTTACTAAGTGGCGTTCTGTTTCGCTCAGTGCTCGAGCAATTTGGGAAGATCTTCGTGAGAGGTTTGATAAAGTGAATTCCTCACGAATGTATTATCTTCATAAAGAAATTTTTACCCTAACTCAGGGAACATCATCAGTATCGGCGTATTATTCAAAGTTGAAGGATTTATGGGATGAATATGACTCAATTATCCCATCTCCTCCTTGTGACTGTGAAAAATCAAAAAAATATCTTGCACATCTACAATATCAACGTCTTTGGCAGTTTTTGATGGGCTTAAATGATGGTTACAGTCAAGCTCGAAGTCAAATATTAATGAAGAATAAAGCACCTTCTGTGAATCAGGCATATGCCATGATTTTGCAAGATGAAAGCCAGAGAATTGTTGCTGGCAGTCACACTGTTCCTATTGAATCTATGGAACCAACAACCTTGTTTACTTCAAGGAATAACACTCAGAAGCAGAGAAGAAACTATAATGTCGAACGTGATTTCTGTCACATGAAGGGCCATACTAGAGAAGGTTGCTACAAGCTTATGAAATGTGACTATTGTAACATGAAAGGCCATCTCAAGGAGAATTGCTATAAGATCGTAGGTTATCCGGCTGATTTTAAGTCAAAGAAGAAAGGGGCTTTCGTCAGTGGTCATTTGGCTAAGACAGAAGTACAGTCAACACAACAACCAACAATGCCACAACCTCCAGTATTTACACCTGATCAGTATAATCAGATTTTGCAAATGTTGAACAGCAACAGGTCATCCTTCTCCGGCTCTAGTGTTAACATGGCAGGTACTTCTTGTTCTATTCCTACAAAGGAATCTAGTTGGATAGTGGATACTGGTGCTACTAATCACATGATTAGCAATAACCAGTTGTTGTTAAATGGTATTGAAATAGGAAGTTCAGGACAGGTTCAAATGCCAACTGGAGAGACTGCTAGAATTACTCATGTTGGGGATTGTGAGATGCCTGGAGGTGAACTGCTTAAGGATGTATTGTGTGTGCCTAATTTTAAATTCAATCTTTTTTCAGTTTCGAAAGTGACAAAGGATTTGAATTGTTGTGCAGCATTTTATCCAGACTTCTTTGTATTTCAGGAGCTCTTCAATGGGAGGTTGAAGGCGATTGGTAGAGAACATGATGGGCTATATGTTTTGAAGACAAGGTCCAGGAATGATTTTCATACTCATAGCAAATCTATGGCAGTGCAAAATGTTACAGACTCAGAGATTTGGCATAAACGACTAGGCCATGTTCCTATGGCTGTTCTAAGGAAGATTTCCTTTTTTCAGCACAAGCTTAATTTCACTTTGAACAATTGTGATGTCTGTCCACTAGCTAGACAAACTAGGATTGCTTTTCCTACACATACTAGCAGATCTACTGAATCTTTTCAATTGTTACATATGGATGTCCGGGGTCCTTACAACATCGCTACTTATGATGGTATGCAATATTTTCTTACTATTGTAGATAACTGTTCTAAGTGGACTTAGACTTTTATGATGAGAGTAAAATCAGATGTTTCTTGCCTGTTAAAATCATTCATTGTCATGGTTCTGAATCAGTCTGGAAAGCATATCAAAGTAGTCAGGTCTGATAATGGTGCAGAATTTTTTAACTCTACTTGTTGAGATCTGTTCAACACCTATGGGATTATACACCAAAGGTCATGTCCATACACTCCTCAGCAAAATGGAGTGGTCGAACGAAAGCACAGACATATCCTTGAGACAGCTAGGGCCATCAAGTTCCAGGGAGGTTTGCCCTCGAGATTTTGGGGCCGTTGTATTGAAGCGGCAGTGTATATCATTAATAGAGTTCCTTTGTCTGTCTTAAACAACAAATATGCCTTTGAGGTTCTATATAGTCGTACACCATCTCTATCGCAGTTGAGAGTAATAGGATGCTTAGGTTATGCCTCTACTCTACCCAAGAAGGATAAATTCAGTCCCAGGGGCATTAAGTCAGTCCTACTTGGTTATGGTATTTTTCAAAAGGGCTATAAACTCTATGATCTTGAGACACACAAGGTATTCATTAGCAGAGATGTTGTCTTCAATGAGTCCATTTTTCCATTCAAGACTACACAAGGCAATGTTGAGATGTCATTCCCTGAGGCAGTTGACACTTACTCATTATCTACAGATAATCCCCCTATCAATGTTCCTCTTGATCCAGTTCCTCCAACTTCACATATTCAGCCTAGTCAGCTGTCCACAGAAGCCACAGAACCTCTTCATTCCTCTAATATTGAGGCAACACTTCCTGATACAGTTTCTACTTCCCATTTATCTTCACAAGATATTGCACCACCTACAGAACTTCGCAAATCTACCAGAACTTCCAAACCTCCCATATGGATGAAGGACTTTGTCATTTCTGCCAAGTCTCAGACTGCCCAGACTAGTTCTCATCCTATTTCTACTGTCATTTCTTATGATTCCCTTTCCCCTGCTTATCAGAGTTTTCTCACTAGATTTTCAGCAGAAGTGGAACCCGCGACTTATGCTCATGCAGCTAAGGATCCTCGCTGGGTTGAAGCTATGCAACTTGAAATCAAGGCTTTGGAGGATAACAATACCTGGAAAGTGGTTCCTTTACCAGAGGGCAAAAAGGCCATCGGCTGCAAATGGGTATATAAAATCAAATACAAGGCTACTGGGGAGGTTGAAAGGTTCAAGGCTCGATTAGTAGCTAAAGGCTACAGCCAGCAGGAGGGTCTTGATTACCAAGAGACATTCTCACCTGTTGTTAAAATGGTGACTGTACGAGCTGTTATTTCTATAGCTGCTGTCAAGCAGTGGACTATCCATCAGATGGATGTCTCAATGCTTTCTTGCAAGGGGATCTTCACGAGGAGGTATATATGAGCTTGCCACAAGGATTCAAGTCATCTGCTAGGCAGCACACTGCTTGTCGACTTCTTAAATCTCTATATGGACTTAAACAGGCTTCCCGACAATGGAATTTGAAACTTACCACTGCCTTGCTCTCTTTTGGATTCACTCAGAGCCATTTAGATTACTCTCTTTTTACCAGAAGGTCATGTGGGAAGACCATTGTGATTTTAGTCTATGTCGATGATCTCCTCATCACAGGTGATGATTTGAGTTTGATTAGAGAAACCAAAGACAAGCTGCAGCAGAGTTTCAAAATCAAAGATCTAGGGGAACTCAAGTACTTTCTTGGCATTGAATTTGCTCGGAGTAAAGAGGGTATTCTTATGCACCAAAGGAAATATGCCTTAGAGCTCATCTCTGATATGGGATTAGCTGGAGCTAAATGTGCGGGTGCTCCTTTAGAACTGAGTCACAAGCTCACGTCGTCTGCATTTGACACACATGTTGGTGATACTTCTGATGCCTTGTTAGAAGATCCCAGTGTATATCAACGCTTGTTGGGTAGGCTTTTGTACCTCACCATTACTAGGCCGGACATTGCCTATGCTGTACAGAACCTTAGTCAATTCATGCATTCTCCAAAGGTTTCGCATATGGGGGCTGCTGTTCGTTTGGTTCGCTATATCAAATCTTCACCTGGCATGGGTATTCTTATGTCTTCTGCTGCCTCGACTTCCTTAACAGCCTTTTGTGATGCTGATTGGGCTTCATGCCCTGATACGCGGCGATCTGTCACGGGCTATATGATTAAATTTGGTGCATCACCTATTTCTTGGAAATCCAAGAAGCAAACTACGATCTCTAGAAGCTCCGCTGAGGCAGAGTATCGCAGTCTTGCTGCCACTGTTGCTGAGCTTGTGTGGCTCGCAGGTCTTTTTCGTGAATTGGATATGGATATTCAGTTGCCTATTTCTCTTCATTGTGATAGTAAGTCCGCTATTCAGATTGCCGCTAATCCGGTATTTCATGAGCGCACTAAGCACATTGACATTGATTGTCATTTCATTCGTGAGAAGGTGCTTCAAGGCCTGGTCCAGGTTCAGTATCTCCCATCCTCTGAGCAACAGGCTGACATTCTGACCAAGGCTCTCACTATTCTTCAGCATCGTTATCTTGTGTCCAAGCTAGGGATGAAGAACATATTCATCACCCCTAGCTTGAGGGGGGGTGTAGAGGAGCTTAGTAATTGTACAGCTGTCACGTGTTGTCATTAGGTGTTAGTGTTAACTCTAGTTAAGTTAATTAACTAGAATAGATGGATTATTAGAAGTTGCATATAATGTACAGTATTTTTAGACATTTAGTTAGTTTTGAACAGTAATAACAGAAAACCTTCTGCCGCAATTCTCTCTCTATGCTTCTTCATTGCATATCTCTTCTACTTCAAATTCTCCAGATCTGTGAGAATTAACAACTCTAACCAATTGAGTAGAAGCTTTGGGATTGAGCATAATGATTGTCAATTGTTCCATGAACTTCCTTCATGATTAAACCCTGGATTTAAGGTAAGTGTTTTACTTTATTTTTCTTTTTTAAATTCTTGACATTCTATAATTTGATTTTAAATACAAGCAAAGATGATAAATTTTGATTGTAACTCTAATGGAGTTTGAAAGAAATTATAACCACCCAAAGTGGTAAAATTTCTATGCCTTGCCATGATCAAATTCATGTATGATTGTGGGCAAAGAATTGGAAACCCGTCCGATTGAATTTGCTACATTCTCATTCCCTTAAGAGAATGTGATAGCAGTATGTGATAAATCTGAAAGAAGATAAATTATTACTATGAATGTATCAATGGATGTGGAGGTGGCAATAGACGAACTATAATCGCCATCATTGTGGTAATGAGAATAATAAGTATTCTCAAAATAATCCTTCACTCTGTGAAAGTAATGTTTATCATCGATTTGACATGAGATTTTGTAAATCACATATAGATGATTATGGTCCATTCATGATGTGAATGTGACAACATGTGATTTATGAATACATATTCATTCTTGGAAGAATATGAACATGCTGGTGGTAGTGAATATACCACACTCACCTCTAGAAGGAGGTTTGAGATGAAATAAGAAAATAATTTCATTATTATGGCATGAATGGTCATTGATCACGTACATATTGTGATTATGCCAAAATATTATGGCAATGTGATTATTACAAGGCAAAAGTAATAGAAACAACATATCTTGCCTATAATGATTTTGACCATGACCATAATGGTATAACTTTCTCCTTGAAAGAGATATTCACCATATGTATGTTGATAAATATGTGGTAGTACAACATTAATTGAAAGCTCTGAAAGAGCCAATTATACTACTTTGGAGAAATAAAATTGATTATCAATAAGGTATGGTGTCGTAGTAAGTCTCGAAGAAACTTATTGAGACTGAGAAATCAGACCAGGAGGATCTTAGAGGGGATGTCAATGACCTAATTTGCACCGCACCAGCAAAGATGGTGGCCGAGAAGTTTACACCGCCCACAAAGGGGCCTTTGAGCACAAATATGCTGATTACTGATACGCCAAAGGATCAATTGCCACAGAAGGAAGGTCCATGGCCTGCTCTACCTAGCTACAATGAGAAGATCAAAACACCACTATCCGGTGTATCGGCAGTGGAGGGAGTGAAAGATGTAAGCAAGGATACAATAGCACTTAGTTCAGAAAATCAAAATGGGAACCTAGTAGCAGAGTTGAATAAGGCGCAAAAAAGACTGGACCTAGGGCATGATCCACCAACCAAGATGCCCTGGGTGAACTTGTTTGAAGGAAACAAATATGCTTCCAAAGGTATGAATATGAGCTACGTCGCCCCTACTATACGTGATGGTGTTAAAATCGTAGAATTAGAAAAAGAAGAAGTGGAAGAGGAAACTGAAAATGGCGCAAGGCAATTGTCTTCTATGTGGTTGGGGACTCCCCTACAATTGGGGTTGTAGAGAGGTTCATAGCAAGTCAATGGGGAATTGCTGCAAAGCCAAGAGTCTACTACCATAACGATGGCTATTTCCTTATCTGATTCCACAGTATAGAGGAGAAGGACAAGGCGTTATACGCATCCCCCAACACTATAAATAACAGGCCGGTAATAACAAGGGCATGGACAGCGATTTCAACTTCTAGGATGAAGTACTGAATACTTTGCCAATATGGTTAAGATTTCCAAACTTACCTCTGAATTGCTGGGGGACGACATCCCTGAGTCGAATAGCAAGTAGTTTGGGAGTACCCCTGTACGCTGATGACTGTACTACTAGAGTGGATAGAATTTTTTATGCTCGTGTGTTAATTGAGATTGACATCACAAAAAAACTCTCTGAAAAGATCGATGTGAAGGATCCAAATGGTAGATGTTTTGAGCAGGTAGTGACCTATGATTGGCGCCCTGAATATTGTAATGTTTGCCTACAATTGGGACACTCTTGCCAAGAAAAGGAGAAACAAGAACATGTCAAAGAGCAACCAAAGCAAGTGAGAAAGAATGCCCCTAAGCAGAGACATGAATGGCACGCAAAAGGGGGAACACAGATAGCAAAGGCACAAAGCAATCCTGAGACAACTAAGATGGCTGAGATACCAACAATAGAGAAAGAACCGACAAAAGAAAATACAATAGAAAAGGAAGAAGGGTGGACAGAAGTGAGGGGGAAATCAGCAGGCAAGTCTCCGGTGAGCTATCAAAATGAAGGCATGCAGACCAAAAATGGTTTTGACCCTCTAGCAACAGGTGATCCTTTGTAATTTGCTATAACCAAACAGGGGATGGAAGCAGGGAAATGTAGCACAAGTAGAGGAGGGGAGACACAACACCTATTCATTCCAAGATGAAGTTAGTCACATGGAATGTAAGGGGGTTGAATAAGCTGTACAAGCAGAAGGAGATGAAGGAGTTTATAAAGGAAAATATTATAGCAATAATAGCTATAGTAGAACATAGAGTGACAGAATTAGTCGCAAAAAAGATCAAAAATAAAATAGCTCCACAGTGGAACTGGTGCAACAACTATGGAACAGGAGATAAAGGAAGAATCTGGCTACTGTGGGATCCTCACAAGGTCAGTTTCACAGTAGAAGTTACTCATGTACAACTCATTCATGGCCAGGTTTGCATATTGGATAGCAAGATGAGATTTAACTTCACAGCTATCTATGGTCTGCATACAATTGGTGATAGGAGAAGTCTATGGCATGAACTAAGGCAAATTCAAAATGATCAAGCAGGACCATGGCTAGCAATGAGAGACTTTAATGCAGTGTTGAATATAGAGGATAGAATAAATGGCAACCATATACAGGAATTTGAGGTTAAAGATTTTAAAGACTTTATGAATGATTGTCATATGGTAGAGTTGAGAAGACATATAGACCATTTAGATTTTTCAATGTCATAGCAGAACATGAAGAATTTCAGCAAAAAGTAATAGAAGGGTGGACCAGCATGGATAAAGAGGTGAATATGCAGAGAGTATGGGAAAAACTGAAAAGAGTGAAACACAGACTGAAACAACTCAACAATACTCACTACAGGAATTGATGAGAAAATCAAAAACAGTAGACGACAACTATGGTCAGTCCAGGAGGAGTTGAGAATCATGGGGATATCTGAGAAATTAAAAAAAGAGAAATCAATTAGAGAGCAACTAGAGAAGTGGATCCTTATTGAAGAAAGTATAACAAAGCAGAAATCTAGAAACCAATGGCTGCAATTGGGGGATGCAAATACATCCTACTTCTTTGCCTCTATATATGAAGAATAGACTATCCCCAAAATAAAATCACAAATTTGATGGATGATAATGGTGTACTGCTGCAGAGTGAAAAGGCAATTCAAGAAGAGATCATTGGGTTTTATAAACGACTACTGGGCTCGGCAACTGACTCCATACCTGCAATAAACCCCATTGAAATGAAAAATGGACCTTGTTTGAACAGAGAGATGCAGCTGAAATTGATA